CCCGTCATTTCCGACAGGTGTTGAAGAAGAGAGAGAAACAGACCACCTTGGAGATGTTTTTCAAGAAGCCAGCTGTCAAAAAACAAAGGATGTGGAACAAGAGGAGTTGACCCTGCAAGCCCCAGTAGCCTCTCCTGAATCTGACTCTGATTAAAAAACAATAAAAAGACACCTGCTGCATTCTGTAAAAAGTCTGTATGTGTATGAATGTGTGAAGAAAGTGTTCCTCCACCTCCTTCTCACAACATCTGACTACCTGGCATAATTGGTGACTGCTCCATTTTCATTTTTTTTATGGTACAGTATAGTTATTTTGTGCTGCGGAACGAATTATATGTTTTAATATGTATTTCTATAGGAAAATGCGTTTCGTATAATGGACTTTTCACTTAACGGACATTCACCTGGAACGGATTAAGTACATTATACGAGGCACCACTGTACCTACAATCTGGACTGTGACTGTTGCCAGTCGAACGTTGTGCTGTTCACACTGTAAGGAACTAAGTCCGAGCTTTATTTTTATTTTACTTTTATTTTGCTTTTATTATATTTTTGTTTGGGGCTTATGTTTAGTTAGGACGAAGGTTTCCTTACCCATCACCCCAGAACGGTCAAAACGAGAAGATAAGGGATAAACCAACTCACTGATGACGAAAAGACAGCACCATAGCTAGAATTCGCACTCACGTGCACGCCCAAGCGACAGAATTGTAAGTCCGCACTGAAGGGAGGACACCCCAATAAACTTTTTAGGAACTTGTGTAACCTTAAATTAAACATCCCGATAATTGTTAAAGAAATGTTGTAAAAGGTTAACAAAGTATTGTTGAGAAATAAGCTACCAGGTAACTAAGAAAAAAAGAAGGTTACGCGTAGATATGTAAATGAGGGGAGTGTCTCCAGTAGAACTGTGATGTCACCTCAGACTATAAGTACAGTAACTCAAGTGAAGACAGACGAGGTGAGCTCCTGAACCAAAAGCGTTAGTCTGCTGATAGCAGTGAAAAAGGTGTCGAATAGGAAATCCTAGTAGGAGATTGAAGGTTCGATTTTGACGATAGGAAAAGAGGAGAGTCTTGAGTGGAGGAAAAAGGTTCCGAGTATTAATTGAGGTGACGGTTAGGATCGATAGTTATAAGAGAATCTGTAACTAAGTTAAGATTGAATTTTGTTTTGTCGGAATTCCAAGGGGAATAGTTTCTAAGTTAGAATAAGACTTAAGTTTGTCGGGTTGATTGTGATTTGATTTCTTATTTAATAAATTTGTTGTTTGTTTCCAAAACTTGTACATAGTATTTGTTAGATTTGATTAAACATTTATTATTGAGATTTTGTGACTAACTTTGTCCTTACTTTATTTCAGTGCACGCGAAAAGTCCAGGTCTGGCAACTAACAAACGCGAACCCGCGTAAAGTACCCGTTTGGTCCCGGCTCTTTAAGAAAAAAAATTCGTTGTAGAGCAAAACACTAAAAATAGTACTTTACAGCACAGGCAGTCTGCTTGAGAAGAATCCGGCTATTACACATGATGATAAAACTGACACAACTATGCAGTAAGTCACGAACACCAAGAAACAAAATGGAAGTTTTGGTTAGAAATAAACACAGTACTTTTTCTTTCCATATATCTAATAATAGACAGATGTCGTCATCTCTCCAAATACAGTATCTTTTATATTTCTCTGTCAATATCCCAACACGTGTTCCGCAGCCATCTTGTATTTTCTCGTGAGCGTGGGATTGTGGGATCTCTCTTATGATTGATCTAGTTTCCAGAACTCTCTTGAGTCAATCGCTATTGAACCTTGTTTCAGTCGAGATTGAAACGGTCAAGAGAGATTGCACCAAGGCATTGTCGCTGACCTTGGTCACAATCTAGATTGAAATGCTCAGTGCAGATGGGGTATAAGTGTATACTAATGGCATCTCATGAGAATTTTTTATATAAAATTATTACACTATGCAAATTTCAAAAAATTGAAAGTTAAGTACATAAAGATCTATGTTTTAAATTTTTTCAATTTTAAGTTTGCAGGTTGGACAGATCTGCAATACATGATGAAAGATTCCAGACTGACCTGGTTTATATAGGGTGTACAAAAGATCTCTGAAAAAATGTATGGCGGAACATAGCTTCTTACAAGCTATGTTGGTATTTTAAGGCTCCATCCACTTATTTGTTGGACAATGGAGTTATGACAAAATTACATCAAGCCCAGTTGATAAGATGTTCTGTCTCTATTGAACAACTCAGAGAATTGGAAGCCCTGG